CTGCCCTTCAAACCCCTCAAACCCCTCGAACCTTGCCAATGGTTCTGCCATACTGGCCGCCTCCTGAATTCCCTGCGGACATGGACCATGAGCGCAAGGTACGGGATTCCAAACGTCTTTCTGTGGATCTCAAGCCTTGGGTGCGCCACTCAAACCGAATCGCCCGAATCCCTTGAAACGCTATAGGTTGACATGGCGTACAAAGGATTCGGTTCACTTCGAGGTGATGTCGCGTTTTGTTTTTTTGGGGGGAGGTCGACCATATTTTTTGCTCGCTATGGCCTGGGGCCTTAGTGCGTCGACATGGAGGGGAAGGAAGCTAACGTTGGGTAGGTGGAACGATGGATGTAACGAAGCCCTGCAGCATTGGAGATGTACCCAAGGACATCCAAGAGTCCAAGAACTGTCAATTGTGGGACAATACTGCAGCGACCAGCAACCCTCTCTCCAAGAATCACAGGTTCATCGTAAAGCCAGGACAAGCCCAGTACAGTCGAGTCACCTGATCCTACTTCCCCACTCATGTACACCAACCATGCACCGTTCGCCCAGATTGTGAGGCGATGAGCGGCGAAGGCTCTGCTCCAGTGTGTCGGGGTCGGCGGCACCCGGGCGCTAGCTCATTCTATATATTATATTGAAGTATGTGGTTCTCCGGAGGCTTCCAAAGTTCATGGGCACACTGGGGTTGAACCAGCACCTTGTCAAAATCCGGAAGCCAAAGTCGCATTTCCAAGTTTATCACCCTCGTTGGGAGGAGAAGCTGTGCCGCTGGCATGGTGAAACTGGTGAAGGGCAAACTACACCCCTTTGAGCACTTGGTACACATCATGACATGATTCCAATGTCAATTACCCGTGAGTTCTAGGTTCTTGGCAAGACATCGCCTAGGTCCCCTGCTTATCATGGTGGCCAATGATCCCTGCAGTGATGAGTACACACACATATATATATATATAAAAAAACAACACACAAAGTTCTCTCCTGTGAAATGCAGTTGTCACCATGTGTCAAACTACTTGGGTATACTAATAC